TCCGAGTCCGGAGCGTAAACAAACAAGCATCTTACTTGCCTGCCGCGAGCTATTATCTGCTCTATGACCTCATCTGAATCGTAAATGCAAAGCTCAGTTGTTCAATGCTGCTAAAGTGTTCAATAAGTAGAGAAACACGCAAAAGATAGAATATCTAACCTGGTATTGAAGCTAGGTAGTCCAGAAGTTCAGGTCCTACTGATGTGGATGGCCATTTGATTGATATCTGTGTGTAGTCGATTACATTTTGAAACGGCAGTTCTACTTGATCTGACAAGATGACAGGAACGCATTCCTGTTTGTGAACCAAAAGGGGGAGAAAAAAACAATAACAATTAATGATGGTTCAGTTGGCCTCAAAAGCTTGTGTTCATGTGTTTGTGAATGACAGAGAGAGGGGGAAAGAGAGAGAGACCACAAAGAATGCCTCGTAAAAGCGGAGGGTCCAAGATGACTCTCCACGTGGTGCAAGACAAAATTTGGCATTTCCAAGGTGCTGAAAGTATTCCAGTCTCCCCAATTTGTTAGGACCCCTGAACTCTAGCTCTGGACATTCCAACTGTTGCACAGTTTTCCTACAAGAAATGAGAAAATTGTAGTCAAAATCAACCAATTTAGCATGTGAAAGAAAGCATGCTAACTACATCTAGATATATCATAATTTACATCAATCAACCATAAATGAATTAAAACCCACAATAAAATTAGGCAAACAATATTCTGCCAAAATAGTAGATACGGCCATAGGGCAAAGAAGTAACAATATGAAACATATTAAAACATATAATTCGTTAGGGTAAACTACACGTTTAGTACCTAAACTATTACTTTTGTTCCGTTGGTTTTGGTACCTGAACTTGATTTTTATTTTTTTTTCAAAACCATACCTAACGTTTAGTTTAGGTTTCAATTACCTTCCGTTAAAAACTTAAAGGTGATGTTGATGCGAAACATAACTAAACGTTAGGTATGGTTTTGAAAGAAAATAAAGTTTAGGTACCAAAACAAAACAAAATTAATAGTTTAGGAACAAAACATGTAGTTTACCCAATTCTTTATTCTAGAACAAATTCTTAATCAATTAAACGTGAGATTAGGCTTTATATTGTTGTTTTGAGGTTCTATATGAGGCCAATACTAAATCATCAATATACGATACAATGTCATATCTAAAGCAGTAATCTGACAGAGAAAGAAAACGTACCTTATCTGGATATTCCCTAGCAAGCTCAATCAACTTGAGACGACCAACCTTATTTTGTGCCCGGCCTAAATAGTTTGCCAAATACCTTCTCTTTGATAGAGGCCAAGGTTGGAAAATAGTAAGCCCTGTTTTCGTCATCCCATCATCAACATTTCCAGGAATGATGATATCTTTCCATGTATTGAAGGCATTTACATCTCTCTTATCAGTACGGTCTCCCTGCACAATACACAAATCAGCATTCTTTTGTTACAAAAGCCAACATAAAACACGAGAAGTTCAATTCTGAAGGCCTCCATTGGTAAAAAAAAATTAAAATGTGAAGCTTAGGAATAACTTAAATGGAGACAAAATGGCTTCAAACATTCATTTGTAAGATATTAAAGCAAGATTTGTTGGTGGGGTGTGTGTGGGGGGGGGGGGGGTACAGAGAAAAGTATAAACTTCATTGTGCATCACAATATCTAATAATAGTTCTGCAATACATCTATTAATTCCACATCCCCTACAAGAGTTGGGAACAATTAAACTCGTTTTTGTCCGTCATATATACATATACATATATATATATATATATATATCAAATAAGTAGCAGCCTGTAATAATTTCTGATTAACAAATAGAGTTGGTAATTTCAACAAAAAAGAATAGGGTATAGGCAGTTAAGGCTGGACCAAAATAATTCTTCCAACAAGAAAAGTGATTGTTTTCTCCCATGCACATAATCAGTGACGGAATCAGACCTAATGACAATTTAGGTCCCTGTGAGTTTAAATATTAGACAAATTAACCCTTACCACCTCCCCTCCCCCCACCCGAAAAAAAATGAGCTTAAATACTTAATAGGCCCTTGTATTTTTTATGTCAGGTAATTTGTCCCCTCCAAATGTTTGGTCATGGTTTTGTCTAGGACTTAAAGATTTTCGACTGATTATGACTCAATGAATCCAGGAATTCAGTCTCTCTTACTTTCCCCTGTTGGGTAAAGAGCTTAGATGAAATCATCTAGCCAGTTACCATGGTTGAATTTGACAAAGCAAAAACTGGAGTGTGTACATAAATATTAAATTGTATTCTTTATAGAAAATCTAATTTCTAAACAAAGGAGCTCAAACCACAACAAAAACGAATTTTGATAGTTTTCCATAAGTTGGTTATACAACCCTAGAATCACCCGTATTCTTTGCATTTTGCTCAGCTTCTTTAATTGGGATCAGATTAATGGTTATGACAATTTATGCCCCATGAAAGTAAGAGACACATATACTCTACCGATGATGGAACTCAGGCACAAGGACAGAACGATTGACCTATATCACAGGTCACGACCTAGCAAAACCAAATGCATATGCTAAACAAAAGTCATAAGATTTTTTGGACAGAAAAGACCAATACCTCAGGAGTGAGAATTATGGATCGGTTTATATAAGTTGCCCAAGATCTAAACAAGTGAGCTCCAGCACCACTGTAATATACATGTATAAAGCAAACAACCTTGGAATCAAAGTTAATAAGATTCAAACCTAAACGAAACAAAAGACTAACAGTTATTATACCTTGGGAAAACAAATATATGGTCCCGTCCTCCGGACCGCCTGAAATACGGCATCTGGCTCAAAACCTGAAACGAAGCAACAGTTCATTCGTTACTGAAAATGAACAAAAAAATTATATATATTGAACAATTAAAAGTAAGCTTTTACCTTGACATAGGTTTGGTTAATTTCTTTGTCATTAAGACCACCCAACATCCTAACACATTTAACATAAGCAGGTACAAAGAACAAATCAGCTTCCTCTTTCTTTCTTGTTCGAAATCGAGATTCAAGCAATAGCCTGTGGATTTTAACCTGCATTTTTGTTTACTGACAAATTAAGATTTAATTTGAAGGAAACTATTTCTAAAAGAAAGAACCATTACCTGAGAAGCCCACTGGCCTTTTAGACAAGCATTGGTAGAAATTGATCCATCTCTTCCGTACAAAAGGAGTTTTAAGCCGTCGATATCGTTCTCGTCGTAGACGTAGATCTTGAGAGAGAGGTAGGACCCGTACCCTCGCTCCTGCCACAAGAGGTGGCCTGCGGCGGTGGTTTTGGCGACGTAGAGGTTGTCTACGTTCGGGGACGGACGACCGTTATCGAGGTAGCAGCTAGAGGGGGAAAATGATTGATCAATGAGACGAGTGAGGAAGAAAGTGGCGGTTACGAGGAAGAGAGCGGATATCTGGTGAGCGCAAGTGCAGAATGGCGAGGCGTAGGCATGCGCTTGGAAGACTCGAGCCTGACTCATTGCCTTGTTTTCCAGACTCAACTGAGTCGAGTGGAGCATCAAATAGAAAGCTTAAAACCTCTTCAGTCTTCAAGACAAGATAGCTTAGTGATCCAAACGATGTCGTTTCCGTTAATATTTACCACATAAATTAAACTATTAATATATAGTATTTAATAGGGGTGTTCATTCGGTTAATTCGATGGCCGAACCGACCGAACTACCATTTTCGAATTAATCGAATTTTTTTTTCTTTAACCGTTAATCGAACCGAATTTTTTTTCAAAAATATTAACCGAACCGAATAAATTTCGGTTAATTCGGTTAATTTTTGAATTAAACGAATTTTTTTAGAATTTTAGAATTTAATATTTTTAATTAAAAAAACAATTTACAATTAATTTAAATAATATCTAATTATAAATAATATCTAATTAATTTGATTCAAACATTTTGCATTTAGTTTTGATATTATTTTAATTAATTAATATTGATTTAGGTTTTAAATGGATTGGGCTCTTAATATAATTATATTTAAATGTTAATTCGGTTAATTAACCGATTTCGAACCGAATTAACCGTTAATCGAATTTTAAAAAAATCCTTAACCGTTCCCCGACCGAATTAATTCGGTGGCCGACCGAATTAACCGAACTAATTCGGTTCGGTAGATTAATTCGGTTAAAACCGAATTTTGAACACCCCTAGTATTTAACACTATTAATTATATTAATAAATAGTATTTAATACTTTAAACATCAAATCTTAATTATATTAATATATAGTATTGAATATTTTAAGCATTAAGTATTAATTACTATTAATCGTATTAATAAATAGTATTAATATTTATCACACAAATTAAATAATATATAGGCTTAATAAAAACATGTTTAAACTATATATATTTTTAATTTTAGGTGTTTAAATAATTTTTCACTCCAAGAAAATGTCTAATATTTTCGATGTCACTCTTCTAACTGCATAAGTCGTAACGACCGTTAAAACAATTATCTAACCCTTGTGTGTTTGTAGGTATGATGGCCTGGTTGGTACTAATTCATCATGTTTCTTGCAAGAGTTACCATAAATATGTCATATATATTAAAGGTTAATCTAAAGTTGTTAAAGGCAAATTGAGGTTAATATTTAAAAGGCATACTTAAGGGTCACTTAAGTCAGATTTGTCTCTATAGTAGACTTAATTTTTTATTTTCGTTCCTATCGTATTTTCACATCAATTTAACCATCAAAGTTGTTTAATTGTATCATTCTATATCTTCTCCTAACTTAAAAGCCTAAATTATAAATCATAAGTTAATGTTCAGGATTTAAGGTTTATGGTTTAGAGATAATAGGGTAATGGTTTAGGGTTTAGAGTTTATAATAGGGTCATGGTATGTAGGATTCAACAAGTTGAACACGAGAATAACAAAGGAGAGAATGAAAAACCTGAAAATAGGATAAACATTAGCATTATACATAAGCAAAAACAGCAAAATCCATGTAGCAGCATACATTCTTCTATTTCCTTAAATCACACACTTCGAAAATATACTGAAATACATTGAAATAGCTTCATCCATCCAGCAATCCATTTGCTTAAGCATCCATACGAATCATACATCTCAGGCCCTCACCCGCGAGCATTAGCTCAAATGCCTTGTTGATCTCAGAGAATGGAACCGAGTGAGTGATGAATTTATCCAGTTCAAGTTCCTATAACATTTAACACATCTTATTAACGGTACTCATTTACAAGATTAAATGTTGCATCAAACAGGAAGATAACCTCACCTTGTTCATGTATTTCTCGACGACAGCCGGAATATCGGTCCGAGGTTTGTAGTTGCCGAAGAAAGTACCCTTCAGAGTCCGCTCGTTCAGCAGATTCACCGGATGAGTTTTGAATGCATCGTCTTTGTTCGGAACACCGACAAGCACCGCAACACCCCAGCCCTGAATTTCAGCAAAAACCAACAATGTAAAATGATATGTTATGAATTCTGATATCATGAATGAAGAGAAAAATGTTGTACATCATGGACACATTCGAATGCAGATATCATGGCCTGGATGCTCCCGGTACATTCAACGCTGCGATCAACTCCTCCGCCAGTCATCTCAGCAATGACCTGATTGATAGAATCAGTTCTATAAGAAGGATCTCAAACAAGATTATTATACAATGCAGGGTTTATGCAAGGGCACCCTAGTATGTAGGGTCATAAAGATGTGGGAACCAACCTCTTGAACAGGTTTGTCATGATCTTTTGGATTCACAAACTCCGTAACACCAAATTTCTTGGCTGCAACAAGTAATAGGAACAAACATGATCCGTTTTGTAACTTTGTTTAACCAAGAACATAACCAGTCATGGGATGTCTTGCGTAAATCATGACTGTGAAACAAATCCTACCTTGCTCGAATCTGCTGGGGTTCAAATCGACACCGATGATCCTCGAAGCCCCCGAAACTCTTGCTCCTTCAGCAGCCTAAATTTCAGAACAGAGATTCAACTTAAAAGTACACACCAAGAGAGGGGAAAGAACTAACATAAAAGCAACAAGAATAACTCACAGCAAGACCAACAGCGCCTAGTCCGAAGATCGCAACAGATTGACCCTTTTTGGGTTTAGCAACATTCACAGTGGCACCAAAGCCTGCAAGAACAACAACAAAAGCTTCCTTGATGTCATTAACATGGTTTATATATCCCAAAAGGGGAAAACAAAAGGAAGTCTTAGTCCCTAACCTGTGGACATTCCGCAGCTTAGAACACAAACTTTATCAAGAGGAGCCTCAGGATTGATCTTGGCGACCTGACCGACATGGACTACGGTGTATTCGCTGAAAGTAGAGGTTCCAAGGAAGTGGTAGATAGGCTTGCCATTGATGGAAAACCTGGATTTCCCATCATGAATCATTTCACCCCTATCTGTGTTAATCCTGAGGAGATCACACATGTTGCTTTCTTCCGACAAGCAATGGGCGCATTCCTTGCATTCTCCGGTGAAGATGGGAAGCACGTGATCACCTACTTTGAGATCAGTCACGCCTTCACCTACACTCTCCACGATCCTAAATATCACCAAGTCCAAAGAACATGATCACCATACACATACATATAAGAACACAGGAAGTAGACACTTTAAACCGATACATACCCTCCAGCCTCATGACCAAGAATTCGAGGAAACATGGGGTTTTGTCCCTACAACAAGAGAAAATTGTTTTCATTCTCAATGTGAGGGATCAGAGTGAAATATTCATATGAAGCAAATGTATAATAAGCCATAGATGATGGACTAATAGGAACCTTAGCATCCCAGAAGTAGACATCGGTGTGACATAATGAAGTGAAGAGAATCTTAATACGGACTTCATTCTTCTGCGGCGGCGCCACCTCCACTTCTTCTATTGACAGCGGCTTCCCCGATTCCCATGCCACCGCAGCTGTAAGACAACAACCACTGAATTAGCAAAACAACCGCAGAGAAAAAGAACCCGTCAACCAGTAACAAAATAGAAGAATTCCCATCGAAGAATAAAAACCAACAGAGAACATGCAAAAACAGATCAAATGAAGAAAAAGAAAAGAACCAAGCAAAGAACATCTGAGAAACAGTCGATTGATCACACCTTTGCACTTGATGACCTGACCAGCGGTACTCATATTGGCTCTTTAATTTTCTTCGACTGATAGAGACGAAAACTTGTGTTTTGATCTGATCACTCGTTTTTTCTTCTTTATTTGTGTTTTCTTGTTTATGATGAAAGAGGAAAGCCAAAAGGGGTTCTATATACAAAGCGAAACCCACTTCCAGCTCACTAGATGACGCATAGCACACCCATAGTTTACTTTTTCGTCGAATGGCTGCTTGTTTTCCAGGCGAATCTGTGTCTGGTTTTGATCAACTCGAATTAGAATTAACATCAAGTATCATTTTTTTATAGGCTCAACTACACTTTCCAGGCTAATCTGTGTCTGGTTTCGATCAATTCGAATTAGAATTAACATCAAGTATCATTTTTTTATAGGTTCAACTACACTTTAATCACCTCACTCATAGTTTTTTGTTTTGTTTTGGTTATTTAATTATTTTTTCTAAAATCAAATCTGAATTATATTTTAATTTTATTTTTACCATCTACCGTTAAAAAATTAGAACTATTGATATAATATTTTTAAAATTTTAAAGATAACATGATATTATCTTATGACGACATATTAACATCATAGTTGATTCTCTAACGATAAATGACCAAAATAAAATAAAAGCTAAACATTTAACTTATGTTTTCATTCACGACATCACAGTTGACTTTTTTTATTTTTATAAAAGATGTTTTCATTCACGACATCCATCTTCAAATTTAACTTCTCTTATGTTAGTATAATATTTTTCTGGTCTAGTTGATATACGTGGCTGAGTTGAAATTAGCATAATCATTTCCATAGGCGCCTCATGGAATCTTTATTTATGTCGTGGGGCCTGTAGATTATGAATACAATACCACCCATGTTTTAAATAACGGTAAGTGACTATGATACGGCCCGTGAAATAGTGGTAGTGTTGCTTTATATTTGTTATACTCGTAATATCATTCGCTATGTCCGTAATAACGTATGCTATGATCATAATCACGGTAAGCGACATGACTGAAAACAAAACTGTGATCATGATTTGAATCCCTCATATCACCTGCCTTCACCAAGGATTCATTGGTTCATCCAAATCTAATATAGTTATGTTTTCTTTAATCAAATAAAATCCCGTCTCTTCTTAGTTTGAAATCCATTTATAAGTAAGTAACTAAAATTATTAAGAAAGTGCCATGAACTCTCCTGCAAATCAGTTGCCATATGCAGAGGAAGAAAGAGAACAAGAAAAGGTTGGAGAAAGAAGGTTTTGATTAGTATCATGGAAAATAAAACCTTTTTTTGGTTATCTTCCCATTTTAATGTATCGTCATTATTAATCAGGACCGATTCGAGTGTCACATCTGGATTTTTTTGGTGGGTAAGACCCAAGAAATAAAACTTTTTAAATAAAATATTTTAATTATAGAGTTGTTTTGTGATATTGTCTTAGTTTCAGATATTCAAAATTTTTATTATGTAAAAAGTAATAGTAACATAATAAATTTTGATATTTTATAATTTTATTTTATCATAAAAATTCACCGTCTAATATCAATATTAAGAATCATTACATAAATTCTTTATGTAAGACTCACTCTATCAACCCCTCATTGCTCATCTTATTTACTCATTACTACCCTCCATAGTAGTATTTGTTGTGATTCTTCGCTTAAATTAAAATAGATGAACCGTTTATAATATCGTAACTCAAATATTTTTATCAATAATTGATACGGTGAACATAGATCATTTCTTACCTAAAAAGAATCCGTCGAGATAAAATTTCTGGAACAAAATATCCGATGTTTTCACTTATCTTCTTCCCAAAATTTCCCCAAGTGTTCGACTTTTCTGGAAAGAAGCTCAAATCATGTATGACTGGGCGTACTACCAAAATTTCTTACAAGGCCATAGCTTGCAGAACGAGCAATAAGGCTTGCATGTGCGGTTCTAAGCCTCTCAGGTGGTCTAACTGCAGCTGCAGAAGCATAGTCAACAGCAGCATGACTTGATCTAGAAAACTCTTCGAGAGTTTATGACCTCCCGGTGTCAAAGAAGCATACGACGACGAGGAGAAGAAGGATAATTTTTAATTCATAATTATGTATTAAGTTCGAATAATAAAATATATTTGGTCTTTAAGTTCAAATCTGAATAATAAAAAATTATTATTTTAGACGTTTTAAGTTCGAATAATTACACTTGTTGGTATAAACGAATATATATGGTCTTTATGAGGAGCAATTGCATCTCTGTTATTTTGAAAAAAATTATTAAACCTAGTTTAATATATTAAAAGGAATGAAAAAATTGCATACCCATTTTTTTAAAAATAGAATATTATAATCCACCAAACAATATCAGTGGTTTAAGGGGAGTGTTGTTATCTCTAGAGGTCTTGAGTTCGAGCAATTGCGTCACGTATTGTCAATAACTAAGAAAGATTATGAACAAATATTATCTTATAATCATTCATGCTATTTCAAAAAAGAAGAAAAAAATATAATATTAAAATTTTGGACTTCATTTTTTTAATTTTTAGATCTGACACTATCTATAGAATATACGTACGTTATTAAATAATTATAAAAATTCTAAACTGATATTATCTTATAATTATTAGGATTATTTTAGAAAATAGCTTGCTACTATATTCCTTATTTTAAAATAAATGCATGTTGTTTCATGCTTAGGATGGGTGTCTAATTGAGTCCAGAATAGTGAGCAATTGCCCAACATTATTACTAACCAGAATTGCGGCCATTTTGCCCACATAATGATTTGAGAAAAAAAAAATCTTCATTTATTGCATTTGATCAATTATTTGCTGAAATAACGTGATTTCTACAGTAATAGAGTTGGTCGTCAAGTATTCCGGGCAACCTGTGAAGGTCGCCATGTCGTCCATGCGCATCTAAGAAAGGTCGCCAACCAATCCAAGGTTCATTTCTTCTCTCTTCTTCTTAACTTTCTTCCCTTATGGAAGTTGAAGTTTACTGATTCTTCACTTCTCCAATCATAATCTCTCTTTTTTATCTGTTGTTTCGTTCACTAGTCAAGTCGAAGCTATGGTGCAAAACAATTTCATAATCTTTGCGATTGGTACACTCACCTGCTGAAGAACTCGCCTTCACCTCTGTTCCCTTGCTGCATGATAAACCAGAATGGCAGCAATAAGCACGAACCCATTTCAGCAAATAAACACGACGCTCGGACGACATGACGACCTACAGAGATCGCCTGGAGCACCTGGCGACCAGTCCTTTTACTGTAGAAATCACGTTATTTCAGCAAATAAATTATCAAATGCAATATGTGAAGAATTTTTTTCTTCAAAGCTTCACGAGAAGAATTTTGCCCCAGAATTGCTATATGTTTTACGTGGCTGAGCTGAAAACTTAAAATGATTAACCATAATGGAGTAAATGGGTTGCGTCTGTTGTTAGTAGTTGATTTTTAACTTAAAATTTAATTTAAATAACTCAAAATTTTTAATAATTATTAGATTTATTTTTTATTTATATTAGATATAATATTACAAAAAGTAACTTAAATTGAAACAAAAAATATTATAATATTATAAATATTCACAATTAACTTTAAACAGAAACTTTAAAAATTAACTCGGCTTGACTTGATTTGAAAATATTTCAAGTTAATTTCGAGTTGTAAAATAAGACTCTTCAACTCAAACAACTCGAAATTTTTTGACTTGACTCGATCCAACGCGCACCCTAATTAAATAATTGAAAGAGAACAATATAGAAATAAATATTTGATTTTAGATAGAACAAACGATTAAAAATGAGTTAAGACATGTAGTTACACACTTTTCTTAAGACAAAATTTCAATCACTCCTTGGTTATTGAGATCGTACGTCGTCTGTCTTTTAAGATACAACAACTAGATGATTAATTACAGTAGTAAAATTATAGAGATCGCAAACTATACTCTTACCTGCATCTATTATCTAAAATTAGAGGAGGAGACTTTTTTGAGTTGTATTTAACCTAAAAGGTTCGCACAATATTTATAGTTGTTTCACATAAAAGAATACATGGAAATAATATACTTTGAAATTAAGGTGTTGTTCATACTCGTCAAGGCGTTGTTCGTGCCCATCAAGAGTCTCCCTTAAACCCTTCATGAATCCTCCAAGTGGGCTGACTTTTTTCATCCAAGGATGACAAAAGATCCTTCCAATTTGTTTTTTTTCTTGATATGAGTCTTGATCCCATCTCTTCTGACCAGTGTTTTGAAAATCGAACCGGATCGATCGGTTCAACCAGAAATTGTTGTCTAGTCCGGTTCAATCTACACCGGTTGAACTGCTACTAGTAAACCGACCGGAACCGCTGAACCGTTCAAATCAGATCGGCTGAAAATGGGAAAAAACTGCCAATTTTTTTTAAAAAAATTAAACCAAACGACGTCGTTTGTTAAACGAGCCAAGTCAAACTCGAGTATTGCTGAACTCGACTAGAACTTGAAAACTTTAAAAGTAAGCTCAACTCGATTCAAACTCACGAGCTAAAAATTATCAAGTTCAACTCGAACTCGAAATATAATATTGAAACTTGAACTCGAAAAGGCTTGAACTCAAAAAAAATTTAGAAGCTCGATTGAAACCTAAAATTCGAGTTTGATTGAAGTGAAAGAATAGTTCACTCAATGCTCACCAAAAGGCTCCATGATTTTGAATGCCAAATTACCTCTATTATTTATAGAAGTTGGTTGAGATGATCTTCTATGTTTCTTAGCCATGTGTGATTGTTTTGTTCTCATATTTTTACTCTTTAGACTTTTGGGATGCTCTTCTATGTTTCTTAGTCATGTGAGATTGTTTAAAAAAAAATAAACCAAACAATATCATTTTGTTATGATTTTTTAGCCCCAAATTTATTTTTTAATTATAGTTATATAATTATATTTATTATTTAATATGTTTTACCTTAAATATTATGTTGTAATTAATTTAAATCATTTTGTTTTACTTGATTTTATGGTTTTTAACTTATATATATGTTATGATTTGCTTTGAATATACTTGTGATATAAAAAAATATTTTTTATTAAATATTTTTTATATTTTTATTTAATTTTTTA